TTGTGAAAACATCAATAAATAAATCTCTGACATATTCCTCCTCTATTCTGGCATTTAGCAAATATAAATAATTATGGTAATTCTTACTGACCTATAAGAAGAGAACTTACTAATGTAACTTCAGACAGCAAGAAAGAAAAAAGTGTGTGTGTGTTTTTATGTGCTGCATGTAAACATCTGGATTCGACTGTACCAGCAAAAGATGAGAATGACCCACATGTAACATAGCAACAGCTTACAGGAGTCATTCCTCCTTTGCCAGCACAACTTCAGCTAGAGAGAGGTAACATGTGAAAGCACACTTAGGATGAAAAGGCTCAAGTCAAAGTCACACGCTCCTCACTGAGCCTACTTACAGTCTCCCATTTCCCAGAGGGAGGCTTGCGCACAGAAACACACTGCCTGCTCTTTCACTCCAGCAAATCTCAACTGATGTAATCTCGTGCTAATCTTACCTCTGACACTTAACTCTTGGAGGTGTGAGTTTTGCTGCCTCACATATTTTGCTGCATATTTACGCTGAAGTCTCCAGAGTACAGGAGGACTCATGTTCAAATGCGGCTGCATGATGTTTCCTGGAAGAGCATTTCAACTATGACCAATAATGTTTCACCTTACCCAGCGACACGTTTCACTTAAATCCTGATTTTAAACTCAAAATTCAGATTTTCATATTATGAGCTCAAAATATAGATTTCTATGAAAAAAGTTGTAATTCTTAAAAAAAAAAAAAATTAAAAATCATCTTCATGATGCGAATCACCAAAAGTTCTTGGTGACTCACTAAGTATAATATTGATAAAATGTTTTTAATTTAAAGTAATTGAATCCTTGCCTCCTAATTACACTCCCCTAAGTGAGAACAGAAAGCATCAGAGGGGCTTTATTATTTATTAAATTATTATGATTCACTAAGCTGTAACACAATGTTCTCCACTGGAGCAGATGAGTAGGCTTCGCATTGTATTATATTGAACAATACAAATGCATTTTTAATTAAAAAACACTTGATGATGATGACATATGATTTTCCCTCCTCCACCAAACTCCCTTGGCATTCAAGTTTGTGGTTGAAACGTGTGAAAATATCAAAATGTTTATGGGCCATAAATACTTTTGCAAGGCAGCGTAGATGTTTCGTCTGATCTTTTTCGGCCAGAAAAAGCTGGAAGCCGAGTTAGCATGAAAGCCCGCTTCGGTGACAACCAGCGACTCTGTGTTATTTCTATCACCTCTCTGTAATTCACAATTTCAAAATGCAGAAGAAAAACACCAACAGAAGCGCGATGGCAGCAATCCACTTCCTGTCAGCGCGCCCGATGCCGCGTGTGAGACAAGTGGGAATCGGTTACCTGGAACAAAGCTTCCCTGGACCACATCTTTATATGCCCACCAACTCTCATCAAGCTTGGATATGATAGGCTGAGCTGTGAAGAGACAGAAAAAAGAGAATGTGAGGTTTTTAATAAGATCCTTAATGACTGCTCAAAATTCTCTTTCATATCAAAGCTCTTTTTTTTTTAACTCCCTGGCAAAGCAAAAAGAGATGAATGCCACTATTACAGAGAAAACATGAAGGCAGCTGTAAGCAATGATTAATATTGGATTTGAGGGTAATGACTTCAAATGCAAATTATTTGATTAAAAATAACAATTCTGATAGTCTCCACTGTACATTAGAAGAGGGTGTTTTCACATGTGTTTTCACTAATGTCACTAAAAGAAGCCACAAGTTTATTGATAATATTCTGCACCACAAGAACCAGAAATGTTATTCCAAATTGAAATACCTTTGATTTCTGAATAAACGCAAAGATGAAGTGCCGGGTTTAGCATGTCACCAAAATACAAACTGCAGCCTCTGCAGTGTGAAGAGCTTTGCACTCCCCTGTCACTTCCTCTCCATCCTGATGCAATCTGTGTGTGTGGAACTTCTGTCACTGAAAACTTTTGCGGCTCAAGAAATAAATCTGGGGAACCAATTTAGACAAACAGAAATGTCATTTCTGAAAGAGAAGGCTGGCGCTGAAATGAAAACTGAACTCGGCTTTCATAAATCTTAGGTGTGTGCTACATGGACCGCTCGACTTCAGGCAGCGTCACCGAAAGCTTTTCATGGGAAATCCTCTTCCCCGTGAAAGACGGGAAATGAACAGGCTTTCTACATAAAGTATATAATTTGATACAGCTCTAGTGTTTGTATGTTTGTGTTAGTGCTGCATTAGATTTGACTCCAAAAGGGAGAAAATGGATCTATGCTCCACTTGAAAGTGGAGAAATGAGTAGCTTTTTGCTTCTTGTTGTGTGAGTGGAAACCGGGGTGAGCCCACTGGTTCATCTTTGTGTTTATTCAGAAATCAAAGGTACTTTATTTTGGAATAACATTTCTGACTGCAAAGTGAAAAACAAAAACAAAAAACACAGACCAAATGAAACTGAGCTTGATTCTACAATTTTCAGTCAATATTCAATGTTTACTTTTATTGTATTTGTGAAAAAATAAACCAATTGTCAGTCAGTCAGTCTGGTCCAGAATCAGGTTACAAACTCAGTTGGGATCGTTGCTTTTCCCCTTTTTAAGACAATTTCGCCATGAAAATGTGTTGTTAACATTTATTGCCATGTGTGATAACTTTTCAGTCCACAATTTGTTAGTTATTTTACAGATCTGGGTCGAGTTTGACTCAACAGGTGAAAGAAAGAAACCAAGGCAGAAACCTAGAACTGGACGGATAGATTAGTCAAAGCTTCATCAAATGCTGAAACACCAGAGATTCAAACTTCTGTTGCCTCTGGCTGGTTTACAGTTCAGACCAGAACATCAAATATAGAGACAAAAACACGTTTTTTTCTCACTGTCTGAAGTTAAATCTGACCAAACCTTCTCTTTTTTCAAGTAGAATTACCAAAACGATTTCTATTGCCTAAATGCCAGAAAACACACTTTTTTTTGTAACCTTAACTGTCTGTTAACCTGCGCGACTTGGGTCAAACCTTTTGGGTTTGGGTTTGCTTCAGGCCAAATTTCCAGCAAACCAAAAGCTTCTTGAAGGGAATCAAGATCGTTGGAAAACAAACTCAAAGGGAAATCCAACAAATACTCAAATGTGAAAGTGAAGATTTGAAAAAGACATTTGAAAAATCTACCTTGTATTATTTTGGCATTTAATAAATGTCCATGTTGTTCATCCCAACTGCCCTAAAATATCAAAGTGATTGATTTATTCTCAAACACTGAGAAAAGAACAACTATATTTCTATTTCTATATGTATATATGTGTGTGTGTATGTGTGTGTGTGTGTGTGTGTGTGTGTGTGTGTGTGTGTGTGTGTGTGTGTGTGTGTGTGTGTGTGTGTGTGTGTGTGTTTAAATGGTTTCTCTCACTCTGTAATAATGAAAATAACCTGTGTAATTTTTTTTGTAATTATGTGGAGTCTGGACTCATCCAGTGGGAATTCTGTCAGCTGATATGAAGCCCAAACAGCTGCACATCTTGTATTCATGAATTATATATGTACTGTGTGTGACTCGCCTGTTCTTTGCATTATGAGCTGTTTTATGCATATGCATGCGCTGTGAGTGTGATCAAAGTGTCGGCTTATGGTGTGTGAGAGCGCGGACTCGGGGCTCCAACTCAGCCCAACACGTCCGGACTTGTTGTAATCCACAGTCTGAACACCAGAGAAGAAGAAGAAGCTGACATTGTGACCTGAATGGTAGCTTCTATTGAATATGAAGATATTAAATGGACATAAACACAGACTTTGTTACACAGAGTGCGTTTATTATTATTATTATTATTATTATTATTATTATTATTATTATTATTATTATTATTATTATTATTATTATTTGTTTTCTGCATGTTCTGTGTTTTGTTGTTGCTTGTTTGCTGCTCCATCAGATGGTTCTGGTGAATGATGGGAGTTTCCTTTGCGTCCTTACCTGACGAACTGCAGATGATGCACATTTGCGAAATCAAACATAAATCCCAAATGAAACGCATTCTTCGTTTAATTCCTGCTCATGTCCTGTCGCTGCTGCGGGATCGCGCTGGAAGACCACGCGGGCAAACTTTGCACATTGTCCCCGGGTCCCCGGCTCCGTCCTCCGGCGCGGCGGCGAAACGTTCGGAAGCCTCGGAGCTCCGGAGCGGGAGATCTCCTCCCACAGCGCCGTCCTCCTTCACACGCCGGTGCGTTGCCCAGGCAACATTTCTTACTCTGTATCTTTATTTTATTTTTCTTTCTTTCTCTCTTCCTTTCTTTTTCCCCCCACTAATCTTAGAAGCGTGTGTGCTGAAGGTGTCTGTCAGTAAATGAAGCCGTCAGGACACCTGCGCGCTGAGCTCCGCTCGGCTCCGCTCTGCGTGGAGATGATGATGATGCTGGCCGGGAGCGCGCAGCCGCTGTGGACGCAAAGCCCGAGGTGAGGAGAGCGCACAGACACTCCGCATGTTCATCAAATGATGTCAGGACGGATTCACTGAACTGACCATATGTCCAGAAAAAAAAAAATCTAATCAAATCAATAAAATGGCGAGACAATCTGCTTTTACTGATTAAAAGTGCAAAAAGGGACAAAACAGTTCCAGTGTGTCACTCTTACTGCGAAACTGCATGTTACTGGAAAAACTCCAAATCCTCCAGAAATCAAATCGATATTAATCTGACATCCTGTGCAGAAAGTCCCTCTGCTGAGTCAGTTTCTCTGTGGACTGAGTGGGGCGCATGCAGATGGCCTTGGTGATGGTTTGGCTGCTCTAACCTAAATAAATACCTGATAAATCTCTACCGTGAATGTCGCGCGCCCTCTGCTGTCAGCTTTGAGTAACTTGTTGAGGTCCATAAATTGAAGTTGAACAATCATTAAATGATTAGTTAGATGTGTCGTTACTTAATTTGGTTATGAAACAACTGTATTAGTATGTATTAAATATATCATTAGTGAACAATGTGAAAAAATAGTAATTTGATCTTATAATATTTAAATTGATTTTATTTCAATTCACAAAAGACTCTCATCTCAGTGCGACGCTGGTAAAAACGTTCAAGTGTTAATAGAGGAGCCATGTTGAAGGTGGACATCAAGAAAAACTATTTTCTTAAAGTGATAGAGGCCCAATTTCAAGGCATTGAACCACAAAGTCAAACTTCTTTTAAGTCAAGACTGATATATGCAGATTTTTTTAATATATGTACATATAAAACATCTGAAGGTTATTTTTTGTCTGTGCTATAAAAGGTACAATGTGCCTGGAAAACACGCAGCACTGCCCCTTTAATTCTGGTCACCCTGCACGGTCTCAGAGTCCACAGTGGACAGTCAGTCTTCTCCAGAGCAACATGCATCCTGGTCCCCTAAACCTCCATGACCCACTCGGCTCCTGGTTTCCTGCTAATTGTCATAACATTTTACTCAGCACTGCGCTGGGTAAAACAATATAAGCCTCTGTATTTGTCATATCCAACCACTATGAATAAAGGTCAACAAGCTCTTTTAGCTTAGGAACAAATAATGTAACATCTTAATGTGATAAAGACAAACATTACAATCTGCCAGCAATCAGAGAAAGTTTTCAACATGATATCAGTTTTTGAGCTAATAAACTGACATCAGTGTGAAAACCTTCATATAAAGCCAAAGCAACAAAAATCAAAGAAAACATGTCATAAAAATCCAATATGAGTATGTAATGTGAAAACATTTCTTAGTATTATACACTCAGATCCTTAACTGCTGTTATTCAGTATTCTTTTTTCATCATCTGTTTGGACGACACAGTGAGTTTTCAGATTATACATTTATGAGCTGAGAGAGAATCTTGGATCCTTTTATCTCTCTGTCTGGCTCATTTTGCTCCCCTGCACCTTCACACAGACTCATTTGCTCATCTTCCTCATTCGACGAAGAGCAGCTTTCCTCATCTCTCTCAGCACAATCTCCCTGTTGTTCTTCATGTTAGCTTTGGCCGTCTCCAAAAGGAAGTTAATCTTCTCTTGACTGAAGGGCAGCTGGAAGGTGGAGAACTCCTTCATCCTCGCCTTGACCTCCTCTGCATCTGCAGAAACAGAGAGAGACATTCGATCAGCATCCTTACCTTCACCTTGAACACTATGCCTTGCTTTAGAGGACGTTCACACAGATGGAGAGCTGAAATGATGCAGAGATCGTCTTGTCTACTAAAGACCTGCTCTGGAATTTGACAAATGGTTCCGGCCACATTTTGCCTATTTAAAAACACAAACTTCAAATGTCTTCGATCAGAATTTTATGTGTCAGACCAACGAACAGCGATACTTACCTGTGAAGGGGGAAGGGAATTATACAGGGTATCTTAAAATGTTTTGAAATAATTATAACTTGAAAATTTGCTTTTGCAAATCTGAAATTGAAGGATTTCTGAAACACGCAATGGAAACAATCAAGAGAACATTCCAGGCATGTTTTTCAAGAGGGAATAATATTATAAGATGATGTAAAGCTAAAAAACAGAATCAATTTAATAGAAAAAACATTTCTTTGTGGAATCATCATTAGCAACTGCAGTTCCTTCCATCTACCTGCTTTCCATTGACAGATGGAAAATTTCCACATCCATTCAGAACACCTTCTTCCACATGTTCTCTATGCGCCTTACATGGTTTGTGGCAAACTACACAAACCATGTGGGACTTATTATGGCTCTTTGTTTAGGCAGAGGATTTCTTCTTTCCACTCTTCCATGAAAGGTGCAGGTTTGGAACGAGCATGACTAATAGGGAGGAGAGTGTAATGCTACTAAACTCGACTAATCAGTTAAGGCTGACAGATCAAACCTTTGCAGTTTTGCTGGTTGAAAAGCGGCATGTAGATGATGGTCGGCTCTTTTTCTTTTCCCTCAAACACGTAGCAGTCCTTCGGCCAGTCACTCTCCTCCAGGATTTTATCATCTATCTGTGGGAAAGGTTTATTCACTTCAGCTGCATAGTTCCGGGCAAGAATCAGCGTCTGCAAAAGGAAGCAGGAGTAGAAAGATCAGTGGCTCCACACTGGGCCTCAGTGCTTACAACTTTCATGGCCTTTATTTTTAAAAATCTAAAAGATTTGGGTGGTTTTAGACAACTTCAGAGTGTGGATAGGAAGAAACACAATGTGATATTACCAAATCTACATTTTTTCATTAATGTAAAATCGCACCAAAAAAATAATCGTGTTGTTGTCACAGACCAGGCAGTTTAATCCACAGTGACCCTCCTCACCCACATCTGCCATGTACAGGAGCCCTGAAGGGACAAACCACTCTCCAATTTATGAACACTTCCAGCGCTGTCTGGTTCCCCAGTAGTTAGAATCCTATGAAAAGTATGCACAGCTTTGCTGTTACAAGATAACTTCTTTTCTTTCTTTTTTTTTTACTTTTGCTTATACATATATTTTTAGTTTTACTGTAATCTCAGTTCACCATCTACTATCCCAGCTGTGATCCAGTCCATTCTCTCAACTTCAAGCAACCTATCAGTCGACTATGATTTTATGTTTTTTCAAACTCCACATATAAAATGTTTTCTCAGCCTGACTGCAGCTGTACACTCATTAGATTTGCTCTCTCGGTTTTCAAACATGAACACTGGTTGACAGAAATAAGTAAAGCACTATGATTTTAGTGCAAAAGAACTAATATTCTATGTTGACAGGATTGCTTCTGTTGAGGTGAGTGAACTAGTGTGTCTCTGGCTCCATGTCCAAACATAATTTTTGAGTATACGTGTTTACAAGGCTGACAAATCAGACATCATTTCTATATCCACTTCCTGCGACGTTACACTTCTGTGTAGATCAGAAAAGCCATCAGACTTTTACAATTCTTTATCTTTGGGACATCTGGAGAAAGTGTCTTATTTTGAGCTGCCAGAATATGCTACATATATCTTCCTAGACGGATTCACATGACATTTAACGGTGATTTTGAGCACCTCAAACATAATTCCAGCACTAGACTCTGGTGCAATGATGAGGTCGATGTCTCTCTTCTCTCCCAGGAATGACGGGTAGGCCATGTTGATCAGCAGCCCTCCATCGATCAGGTGAAATTCTTCTTTAGTCTGGAGACAATCAGGAACTGAATCATCTGTGAGAAACAGAAGTTGAGAATTTGTAAAAGCCGAGTTTATTAGTACAACAAGTTTCAGCAATGAGGCAGTTCAGTGTGCTTTGCATCATAAAAACGTCATACAGTAACCAATTATAACAGACATCAAATATGATATCTAATATCAATGTTCCAGTTATGAATCAAAGGCAACTCTGAACAGGGCCGGTTTTAGTTTCCATTTTAAGAAACTCCGTGTTTCGTAAAGAGATAAAATTTCAATTTATTTAAAAAATGCTGGATAAACCTCAAAGGTAGCGCAAACGTTTCTGTACCTCAAACTGTTTGGGATGTAAGTCAAACTCTTTCAAACTGGAAAGAGTTTGTTAAGATGTGTCTGGTCTGCAGCACTCATCAGGCCTTCCACAGATTATTTCAGTCAAATTCAATTCTGGACTCTGGCTGAATGATTTTAAAACGTTGCTTTTCTTCTGGTGAAGCTATCATTTTGTTGAAACACTGGTTGTGTCTTATAAAGAATGTAGCCAAATTTTACCTGAACAAATGCAAAAAAATTCTCTCTATTTTTGCTGAGATTATTAAATATTTTTCAGCTTTTTCTGGATTTGTCAAGTGGGAGACAGTGTTGATGAGTACACTGAGGGACGAGTTTGCTCTAAAATCTTTGACATGGTGTCATACAGAGTTATTTGTAATAGTTCTCCAACCTGATGCATAAAGATTTTCCACAGTGAGTCTGTTGCAAAGTAAATAAACATTTGTGGTGGGAGCCTGCAGTCCTGTGTGTCTATCCACAGGTCCGGGGTCCAGATAATGACGTCACAGAACCTCACTTGAAAACGTCCAACCGCTTTTATTTTTATTTGTTTGTCTTAATGCAGGCTGGCTGAACATCTGAGCTCTACAGGTCGGTCCACTCACTCTGGAACTGATAGAGGAAGTTGCTGGTTGTTCCCCACTCCCACTTCAAAATAAGAGGAAGGACTTTCTTTGTAAGGATAGAAACTAGAGAAAAAGCACAGAAACAATGTTTTGTCAAATCAAACTTTTCCTTCTCTATTCCTTTCTGTCCAGTAACTCCTGCCTGTGCTTCAGGTCTATGAAACACACACCTGATGTTTTGAAAGCTCCATCCTCCAAACTTTGGCCCCAGGCCTCCACTGCCTGCACCAGGCCAAGGCCCCACTGTTGGAACAGACTTTTTCTTTCTTCTGGACTCAGAGACTCCAGCAGAACTGACTCATTATGATGCACCTTGTCTTGACAAAAGCATCAGAACAGGCATGGTAAGAAATAAAAACAAGAATGTGCTGCATCAATTTCCTGTTACAAATCAAAGAAAGATTAGTTCTTCTCCAATCAGCACTACCTGCATTTTCATTGACCATGTATTACAAAAAGAAATTTGCTGAATAGAAACACACCAATTTAGAGAAAATTCAGATTTTTCAATAAAAGGCATGAATTCATACCATGCAGGATTTTCTGCAACTTGTCAAGCTCAGACAGGGCAGTAGGATCCTTAATGGTGCTTGAGGTGAGAGTGATCAGGTTTCTGAGCACGTTGTACACACGCAGGTATTCCTTGGTTACATCATCTGCCGGCACTGAAACAGAAGCACAAAGAAAAAGAGTTAGGTCAGAGAGCCAACATGAATTTACTAAGAACATGTTTCCAGTGGTGGTTACCATTAAGCCAAGGAGGGATCACATCCCTGATAACTTCCTCATGAGGCCAGTGCACAGCCGAAAAACCCTGCACAGTTAGAAAACATATATATATATATATATATATATATATATATATATATATATATATATATATATATATATATATATATATATATATATATATATATATATATATATATATATATATATATATATATATATATATATATATATATATATAATATATATATATATATATATATATATATATATGAATGAAGGAAATCATTTGTGGTCATGCTAGATGCTACTATTTTTTGCTTAAATATGTATTTTAGTAGTTTTAGGACAGGACTTTGTGCCTGCCATCTGTTTTAAACTCACTGGTTGTTTATATGGTTTTTGTATTTTATTTATCACTTGGAAGTGATAAATAAATTGCATTAATTGCATCACACAGATAAAGGCTGTTCTATTCTAGTTTAACCTCTTTCTGTCTTCATCCCTACTAAATGTTAATGGATACAAAAATAAATTCTCTTCTGGAAAAAAACAATTGTTGATCTTGTTTTGTTTTCATGTCTTGAGTTTCTGTGTGTTTGACAGGATGAAATAAATGTTTTTTAATTATAAGTTTGATCTTTCAGTTTGTTCTTTTCATGACTACTGCAATTCCTTTTTCCACACAGGGCCAGATTATTTTAATAAATGACATTTTTAGATATAAACTGGGTTTTTTTGTTTTGTTTATTCAGGCTATCTTTGATATTGAAATTAGTCTGATGGCCCTAAATGTATGACTGGGACAAAAAAGCAAATATTAAAAAGACTGTAAGAAATCGAATCCTCTTTCATGGAGTTGTACTATTTACATATATAACTCAGATGTGTGCAACTAGAAATATTGACAACCATCCAAATAGCGCTTTGTAACTGAAATGTTGCGCATGCAGGCATTGTGACGACAGTTGAGTTTGGATATAATTCACAGTGATTGTGAAGCTCACCCTGCAGCCTGATCATGTCCATCTCTGGTTTCTTCTCCATCAGCTCCCCGTTGTGAAACTTGCTGCCCAACAGTGACGTTTCAACAAAGAGGTTCAACTCTGTGAATCCTGCCTCATGAGGGCTCACCTCAAACCATTTACCTGACGAACAGAGAAAACCTTTAACTGTAACTCTTTAGTTACTGTCATAAACATGACATAACACCTGCTGTGAAGGAGTCTTCATGAATGTTTATGATTATAGTCATGTCAGACTTATGCACACCCTGTCAAATAAAGTGTCACCCTTTTGACTTTTTTTATGTAAACCCCTCAGCTAATGCAGATGAAAGTATGTACCTTGTAGCGGCCCATGAGCGAAGCAGTGTTTCTCCAGAGCACAGTAGACGGGGTAGGGGTTGGTGGCGTTCCTGCTCGCCTCCTCTGACAGACGGCGTTCATCCATCTGACAAAGTACAAGATGTTTCTTTGAGGAATCATCACATCGGATGAATGTCTGAGCTCCAAGCTACGTCTGTTCAACCTGTTTCATGATGCCAGCAGAGGTTAGAACCCCCCAGATGTCAGTGAGAGAGAAATGCTCCTCCTTGGACTTTTCAGCCAACCAGGCCACAGCGTGCTCCAGCTCCACCCCAGGACCCAACAGCCTGGACAGCGCTTCGTCCATGTTGGAGCTCCACTGTGGGTCATTGTACAGGACGGCCATGGACCTGACAAGATGAAGAGGGTGAGCGTCAGGCACCCGGGAGAAAAAAAACCTTGTGCTGAGAAATGTTTTAAAACACCAAAATATAAATAACTTATATATCTGCATTTAATATCAGACTAACAGCTGCCCTCCATTCGGTGCTCTTAAATAAATTGTTTTCTACATGAAACAATGTTTAAATTTGATCATTAACTAAATCATGGAAAGTACATGACAGAAGCATCAACTGGCCTGGGAATGCCCCCAACATTCTCACTAATACAGAGAGGTGAGATTTGTGATGACCTTGCAAATTCTTGACCAATTTTGGAGTTACATAGGGGAAAGGTTTTGGCAGAGTCAAAGGACCTCATACTCATGATGTCAGACGGTGATGTGGAAGACGCCACCATCCTCTGGTAGCCATCATGAGGCTGTAAAGCCGCTGGCAGCTCACTGCAGGGACCACTCCCCTGATGCCGTTAGTATTTCCATTATGTCATTCATCGTTATCCAGAAAGGCCGGCTCTGTGGGCATGACCCTGTTAGTGTCACTGACAGTATTCAGATTAGCAGAGTGCCATCAATCAGGTCTATGGATGAGCAGAAACAGATGGTGTTTGAAAGCAGGACGTACAGGAGCCAGATAGCACTAAGAGCCTCCTCCTGGCTGTGATTGGTTGTTTCTGGAAGCAGCGTATTTCTGCAAATGGCTGTAGGACCACAGGGAGGCAGAGGAGCTGGACTGTCTGTTTCATGTTATACTGTCAGGACATGGTGGCAAGCGCATAAAAACCATACTTTTCTAAAAGTTATGTACTGCAGTTTTAAGTCTGCTGAGAAGTGAAATGTGTCCCTGGTTGTTCAGTAAAGCTTTTCTGTTTTTCATCTTTGTTTCTGCATTGCTTTTGTTCCAGTTCCATGGAACTAGCTTGTTCCAACTTTCAATTACTCAGCATTTGTCCAGCATGTAGTGTAATTATGGCTAATTTGTTCTGTTACCATGTTGACCCAGAAACTCCTCCTATGTAAAGCAAAGTGTCCAGCATGGCTTCCTTTTCCAGCTGATACAGGAAGCCTGTCAGACTCACAGCTGCCCTTTGACCCCCACCAGAAGCCACCAGGGCAATGTGAGGGACGAAATCCTGGAAAGAGAAACCAGAGATTTAGACAAGATGATTGCTCTAAATGCAAATTACTTCAAATTAAAAATAAAAATGTTTCTTTATTTTAGAATGAACCATGTCCTCCACTAATCAGAATGAGCATTAATAGACCTTTGGCAAGTAAACTGGATGAACAAGGGCCAGAAAATTGAGACTGCAGGATTTTGTGTTTGACGAAGACGTGGCTGAAGGATCTCTGTCTTTCTTATTCAGCTTTCTAGTCATATGAGAAGAGAAATGGCAGAAGCAGGTGTATTAGCAATATTTGTGAACAACACAACCAGGAAATAATGTTTCTGCACCCAGGAGTTTGAACTCTTTCTTCTACTGCCACAAACAGCTTCATCTTCTCTTCCTATAGATGATGAACCTGACTGTGTCAGACCTCATCTCGCTGCAGTTGAATTAGGTCTCCCTGTGGCTCGTTGTTTGTGCTGTCTCTTACCACACAGACTTTAAAATTGGCTCAGAGTTTATATCTTTAGCTGTCTTTCTATCCTGCATGAAACCACTAAAGCAGCTACTGTTGGCCATTAAATCATCATGTTTTCTTTGACATAGAAAGTTCCCCTGAACAGGCACATTGGTGCTTTCTGTGTATTTCTCTGTCTTCTCAAACTCCCAGTCAATAAAAAGCATGACACACGTTTGGAGGCCTCAGTCTGTGATGTGGCCATCGCATGATGATGACCCTTGTTGCATGTCTTCCCCTTCTCTCTTAATCCACTTTCCTGTCTGACTGTCATATAAAAGCCAGTAGAGCTGACAAAACCTTACAAAAAATAAAATAAAGAGAAGTGAAGACATGTCTTTCTTACCGCACTACAGTTGATCTGCAGATTGTTCAATGCCTGTAGGACAATTTCTTTCCTCCTGTCAATGTATTGTTGTTCTCCAGCACACAGAGACGGCGAGTGACGGACTGTTTCCTGAAGACAATTCATGACAGGAGATTACCAGGTTGTTCTAGCGAGTCAACAAATACGATTTTGGCTGAAGGAATGATGAACAATACAATGAGCCTTATGCTGCATGTCTTACAGCAGAGCCATTACTCCCCAGTGAAACAGCGCAGGTACTAGACTAGTTCAGACCTGTCTCCCACTGAAAATGTCTGCTTACTGTGGTTGTGCATCAAGAAAGAATGAGAAAGAATCCCACCGATAAGATTTCAACAGTTATTGCTCCTAAATGCATACTGAGTGTTGTTAAAGGAGATGTAGCACAGCAGTGAACATGGCCCTGTCCAAACTTTTACTGAATGTTTTGCAGGCATAAAAATCTAAATGTGGTGTTACACGTCTTTGGTATTGATTGATTTCCATGAATTGAATTGCATTGAGAGAGTTGAGATTTGTTCGCTTTTATTATTTGCCACTACTTTTGTTCCCAGAGGGAAAAGCTCACTGCGTCGTAATCTTGTTTTTGGAACATTATTTAAGAATTGCCATGTTCCAGAATGACTTTTTGTCCAAAGGAATTTATAGGGTGACCCAGCCTAACAATGATCATTATGCCTGTGTTTTTATTACTGGAGAGACTGTTAGCTGGGCTCCCGGGAGCTGCACATCAGTTTGTTTATCTGGACCATTTACAGTTTATAATTGGACAGTGTGTCCCAACTCCAATCAGATGACCTTCCTGTCTGGCCTTCGCTTCTGAGACCTTTTGAGTTAAAAGATGCAAGGAGAAACCCATTCCCTTTTTTTTTTATCTAGAGGTTGTAAAAACAGCGAAGGGGCAATGAAAACTCATCAAATCAAAAGACTGCCTTCAAAGTTTTGTTAATTTGAAGGTGTCAATAGCATATGGTCAAATGAATGGACAGAGAACCAGAGCGGTGCATCACAGATGATGTGTTTTGTAGATTTTGTGGACAGCATTCCATATTGTATAGGGACAGCAAGAGTGGATGAGTTATGCAAATCTAGGTGTAGTACTGGAAAATGAGTTTGTGCTTTTCCAACTCTTTCTCTTTGAAAGCTTTTACCAAACTGAAATGTAACTATGTGGATACTGTTACGCGACAAGTACTTTGGCAAATGGATGATGAGGCAGTTGGCTGGATTACATTAATGACATAAATAACTATCTCTTAACTTTTCTGTCAATATTGTAGGTGATGTCAGCATTCAGCTGTCCACATCCTTACTCTGTTGAAACCAGAAAAGAAGAATTTGCGTGTTTTTAGCCACTTAAGCAGCATCTGGATGTCTCTCTGCACTCCGAGTTCAGCACGTCCCATCCTGGACTGCTAGTGTTCTGCCAAAGTATTCTCCTCCTGTCCTGTGAGCGAGCCGCGGCAGAGCAGAGCGAGGCTTCTCACTTAACAAGGAATTCTCAAAGTGTCTCTGACCAAGGAGCTCAGGCCTTGTTTATTCATGACTTGTCACTTGAACAAAACTTATTCTAGTGGGATTTTAATTGCGTTTCTTATTCGATGGAAGCACCGTAATTGTTTTTTTTTTTTTATGTTAGTTGAATATTGACAAAAGTTCCCATTTGCACTGGGGACACAGCTAGTTTGTCTGTCTCTAAGAAAGCAGAGGGAGCTCTGTTATATGTACTGTATCACCTTACCTGAAGAAGCCATGAGGAGATGAGTAGTGTGTGGCCCGAGCCATTGATACATTGATCCAATATTAATGCTGTTTAAAATTGGCAAATCGAAAGTTAAGACTCATCACTCCAGGCATCATTTTTCAAAGCTATTGTTGAACTCGCCTCCTCATCCTGATGCTTCATTTGGTGTCCAGCATCTTGTCTTCCACATGTAGAAACCCAAACTCATCGAGTTGCAAACGTGTGATTCGCTCCACGTGTGAACAAGTCCCAATTTACAACAACAATAATCTCATACCTGTTTGCAAAGAGAAAATCTTTTAGTCTAAGATGGCAGACTCTCTCTGATTGTCCCTCTCTATTGGACGTTTGCATTTGGTAAATGTAGAACTCTTAGTACCAAGTTGTGTTGGTACTAAGTCTGTAGGTTTGTAGTTTGGTTTGTTTAGTTTTAGTGAGATCTGAAAAATGACACATACGTATTAAACTGGCTTTTCACCATTTCACAATCTGTTGAGTCACACTTCATCACCATCAGCCTGTACATTATCTCTGTGAAAATAAATAAACAGTGTAAACAGTAAAACACTCTTTTATTAAAAAGGTACTAAATTTAACTTAATCATTTCTGATTATATTCTGTGACACTTCCTGTTTAAACCTTCTTGAACAACGTTTAATCTTACAACAAATTGACCAAAAACATCAGTCAGTCTTTTGAAAAAGGTCTGAAATTGTTTTTGAAAACCTGTGAATACATAATGATGATTAAGAACATCTTTTTACCGGGATATGCTTTATGTACATGTATCCTCACATGATGTAAACTGGAGCAGGTGAATAGAAACTGATATTACCACTACATTTTAACTGCAAGTATCTCAACTGCATAAAAACAGAAGACTCGACAAAATGATAGTCAACCCCTGCAAGAAAACGCTCTATGAAATGCAAATTCTGGATTTTTGACCAATAAATGTCTCACCTCAGAAGCTGTCACATTTCCCTCCATGTTGTCCACTGCCTGCAGTGCCACTCCGGAAATCATCAGGCAAAAACAAAACCCTAAAGCTGAAAAACCCGTATTTCCTTTCTGTGCCTGCATGCCGGCTCACATACATGCATACAGATAAGGCTGCAGATTCTTCCTGCTTCTCTACATTGACCGTAATGTCTGAGGAAGTTGCACAACAAAAGAGATATTTCATCACCTGATCTCTTCCATGTGTTGGCAATGCAGAGAAACAGTTTCAAATGTAAACCAGATGTTTTGAGTCAAAGTAGAAAGTAGCAAAAATGTCTGGGATCGTTTGTCCACAAAGTGTCCTTGTTTGGAACAAAGATTTGTAAAGAAAACAGAACAAATGAAGAAGCACTGCTGTAAACAGCTGATAGCACAATGGGGCACTGATTCTTTACATCCTTGCATATATTTTTTAATCTATGCAAAATAAGAATATATATATATATATATATATATATAAGTCTGTAGTCGTTGGTGCGGCCATCACAGGTTCGAGTCCCGGCACAATGACCTTTGCCACATGTCTTCCCCCTCCCTCTAGTGCTTTATTGGACTTTAGCTCAAATAAAAGAAGATTTTGATTGTCTCCTGTCCACTAAGAACACACCTCAAGTTCCTCATTAAGTTTTTTTCAGCAGCAAACTGGAGTCCTCTTACCTCTGACATGTCTCCATTGGTTTGTGGTGCCAGAAACACAAAGAACTGATTCTTGGTAGATCATAGCAGCACTGGAAACACTGGACCTGGTTTGATGGAATAGACCTAAACCTTACTGACAGACAAACAACAACAGAAATAATTATGGCAGCGAGCCAAAGGGTAAACTTGTCCTAAGAAGTAAGAAATAAATTTCAAAAAACTGTCTGTGAGCAGGTCTCCTCAAATTTGTTCTGCTCTTTCTTTCAAGATTTTGTTTTTGTGAGGACATAAAATATGTAGGGTGCCATGCAACAGTGAAAACAACAAAGATTGTAGGCTTTATGAACAACAGAACATGCTAGACAATTATTACTGCTATGAATATAAAGTCTTGTAAACAGAGAACAACACAAAGTAGACTTAATCATGAAGTGAAAGGGAAGGAGACGTTTTCAACAGTCACCTATACTTTGTGTATATCAGCTTATTCTTCTAAGGCTGCAGGGAGTTCTGGAGATTTTCTCCACTAGTAGTTTGTAGAGGAGGTGAGGTGAATCCAAACTGCTGTGAAACGTCGTGTAATTAGCAAACGGAGATTCGTAAGAGAGAATAAACTCTCTTACGAGAGAATAAACAGCAGACAGAGGAACCCAGCAGCAGGGTCAGAAAGATGTTTGCTGTAGGGTTAGATTCAAAAACAGTATCCCAAGCTTTGAACATCTCCCAGTTCAATCCCTCATCTGAACAGGGAGAGAGGACGGACCACCCCTACACCTGCCGAGGCGCCAAGACATGTAAAAAGTTAATCTTGTGGATTTTTTTGGTGTGGAAACTGTTGCCTTACATCTGAGGGAAGGATCATCTTTGCATGACCTAAAAAATCATTTTTAATATCTCTATTTTTCATATCAGCTCCACGAAGCTTCCTTAAGCTTTAGGTTGTTTCTGTTTTTTCCATTTTGTCGGTGTTGCCATGAATCAAGGCATCATGAGGCTTTTTTTACAGACCACTGAAGTTGCTCAAATAGAGCGGCTAATCCAAGATGGCACATCGACATGAGTGGTGGCGAGAAGATCAGCTGTGTCTCTCAGCACAGTGTCCAGGGAATGGATTAGGAACCAGGGGGCCGTAGGAGGATTACAACCCAGCAGACCCTGTGGAGAAAGTTATGGTGCCGGTAACATCCTCCAGCTGTTACCATCCCAGATTGTTTGGCTTGTTTTCCTGATGTGTTTCTTAGTTCCTCTTTTGCTTATATAAGCCTTGTTTTTTGTTTTATTTTAGTTCAGTCCTTTTGTGGTTTCTCCAGCTTCAGTATTTTGTGTGTCTCATTTTGGTGAGATCGACCTTGTTCCTGTTTTTCTTAATTTGTTATTTCTTAGTTAATGTATTTTTTATGTTTATTTCCCGTCTCCAGTCATTCCTTCTGCTCCAGTTCAGTTAAGTCTCTTAGGTCTTGTTGTTCTTTCTCAGACTCATTTACTGGTTCTCTCCCTCGCCCCCAGTGTCATCTTCTCTCTTTCTCTCCTCACTCCTCCAACTTGTTAATTATTAATTAATCATTTCCTCCAAGTACCTAAACTCTTTTTCAGTAACTCCTCGCCGGGTCCTTCCATTACTTCCTGTCCTTTCCGTGTTCTAGTCAGTGTTTGCTTTGTGTTTGTTTACCTTTACTTGGATTTTTTCATTTATTTTCCTGCATTGGTTCCCTCTAGTCATTGTAAATTTGTTTTTTTGTTCATTCATTAAACCTTCAAATTCACTTGCTGCCTCTGTACTTTTGCATTTGGGTCTCACATCAAACTTCCTTCTCATCATGACACCAGCATGACCGGTTTGGAGGTGGGTCAGTCATGGTGTGGGGAGCTTGTACGTGCTGAGTTGAGGGCTATTAGCAGCAAGTACACAAGCATGATTGGCAGTGCTAAGGCCTTTCTCCCGGATCTAACTGGTCGATTCTGACCAGGCATGGTCCTTATGCGGGTAGCAGTGGGACGACAGGAAGGAGGTCAAGACACTTGATTGTTTTCCCAGATTATCCGTCTCAGATTTTAATATCAGGACAGGGACAGTTTTAACAAATATATCAAATATATATTTTTATGAAAGGAGCGACTGCAGCTTCAAGGAAAGCGAAATGCTCAACAATGGAGCATCTAAGGTAGTCTTAAACTGCTGAGGATGGAAGGCTGTCCATAAAACCATTGTGTGCCGATAATGACAGCAAGGATCATAATGTGCACAGCTATTGCTCAGTTTAATGAGTGAACTTGGAACAACAAACTTGAAGCACAAACAGCAGAGAACACGTAGTTCCAATTTTAAAAACCAGATCAAAGTCAATTCTAACAATTAGTCTGAACATAAAATAGTCCATCTATGTCTGTCCTTTACGCCGACATAGCTTACAACCATGCATTAGCTTCTACTGGAAACATTGTAACAGACTCAAATTAACTAAAAAGAAAACACACCTCAACATGGCCTGAGTGAAGCTGTTTCTAATCAAACTGGCATAAAACGAAATGGACATCAATTAGAGTGGCTGGTCTTAATATTCTGTTATATAGTCTAAATGTTAGCTTTGATATAAGAACCCTTGTTGACAACATTTAGATGACACACTTAAACCGATGGATTCTTCTGGGTTTAGCACCAACCTTCCCCCACTTGTAAGAATCTTAATCTGCAACATTAAACAGCTGCAATAAACAGATTTATAATATAATACACAGGAATAAAAAGCACCAAGTCTGCCTTCTGTTCCGAAATGCAATGATCACCCTCTTCTCTGTAATGTGTGGAGATGAGAACTGAAATGAAGCCATGGTGTGAAGACATGCTGCTCACCTCCACATACAGACATCTGCTGTCCTGTTTGCCCCTATAAGAGAAGCAGCCACTGCAGGCAGCATAAATTAGATATCACTTTTTAACAGAACCTCAGCTGGAAAACGTCTAAACGCTCCCCTCTGAACTCATCAGATGTAATAACTTCAACGAAACAGCAGAGGTCTATGCACTCTTTGTGTTCTGTGTCCTGCTGTAATATTCAGAGAATTTGTTCAGAGATGTTAGAAGCTGAGTTAATAGTCTCTTTATTTCAATTTTCTACTTTGAAACTATTCATGCTATAGACAAATTTTACATTTAATCCCACAAAGGATTGTTAAAGGACTGAGTGTATGGCCAGATTATGAACAGTGAAAAGACTAAAAACCCACAATGGAGCTAAACGCATAAACGGAAAAACAACAAGGGTTTATTTTTAGATGAACTGCACGGCATGAAAAGGAAAAACTGTCACATTTACACTGCAGTGGACTTTCTGACCAGCTTCAGCCAGCATCTTCACAGCATTTTGTTTTTTCTTCTTGCTTCAGCATTGAGACATACATTAAACCTGTTCATCTCTGAAGGCATGGTTAATGTCTGACAGGAAGAATTAAATGTATTGAATGGCCTGGTGAGCCACCGTAAATGAAAGTCCAATAAAAAAGGACTTCCATGTACTTTGAAATGAGCTGTAACTTGGTAACAGAGACTGAGAAACATTAATCCCATTCTGTCATTTATTTCTGTCTACGAAGTCGTATCCCAAACTTCACCCCTCAGCTGTAGGCCATCACTGCCCCCACCACCCTTTTGTGCTTCAGAGAGTTCATTCCACAGCCTCCCTCCCCCACCACCATTTTGTCATGTTCAACTCCAGGTGAGGCTCAAGTTATGAAATGCCCACAGGGAACAATGCTGGCACCACCACCCTTCACCCCCTCAGACTGCAGACTTCTCCTTCAGCTCCACACGCTGCCTTCAGAAGCTCTCTGATGACTCTGCTGTAGTCGGACATACTGTGGAGTCAGTTCGCGTCCCTGCTGTTTTGGAACAGTTTTTCCGAATTCATAAAAATAATCTCTTGTTGCTTTTTATGCAGAAATATACATGCTGATTTTGCACATTTTCAAAATTGTCCTACTGAGTTGGACATTAGAATCTGAGAATACCTTTTCTAAATATAGCATATTAATAATATAATCATTTTATTATGTATTATTTTGGTTGTTATTATGTCAGAAGTTTGTCTTAAATTTGTCTTTTGTACAGTTTCTTATTTTTGTTAAATTTTGAATTCCATTATTCTGTGACTTTCCTGCTGGTAAAACTGATTATCCACTAAGTTCCACTGGGGAAATATAAATGACATCTCTATTCTATTCTATTCTATTCTATTCTATTCTATTCTATTCTATTCTATTCTAATATTTCTGGGTTTGCTATTAGCCCTCTCAGCTTCTGCACATGATCATAATGTAACATCCACTGAGAGTTCAGTGTTATGTCTCCTGCTCCCCCTCCAGTGTCTCATTTTGTGCCTCTTTGCAGTCTGAGTGAGGATATTGGTCCTGCATAAGAGCAGCATGCCAGTAAGGCTCTTCCATGGGGGAAGGGCAAAGGTGAAGAAGTACAGGCCATCTGTCTCTACCGGGAGGTAACTCGAACCTAAACCTGACCCCAGAGCAGAGCCATTACGGTGTAATGTGTATCTCTCTGTCTGTTCTGGAAGACTCACAATGACACCAGTCTTGTTGAGTTACCCTCCTTGAACAGAAAGCAAATGCCTGGGAAAGCCTCCAGTGCACTTTGG